ACCGGAGCAGGGTCATTGATTATAGTTATCCATATGAGTTGGGATCTCTAATATTTTCATCGCCAACGCCTACAATAACACATTTTCATAACTTATTTCAACCTTTCGATACATACATTTGGATATTTATTATAATTACCATAAATTTAATCATATTAATATTATCTCTAATTAACAATAATCGCAATAAAATCGTGAACTTATGTTGGGATGTCCTAGTAGTATATCTAAGACAAAATGGATGTAAATCATTTATGAATGCTAAAAATAAGCCATTTATATTTACCTGGTTATTAATGACTATTATAATCGATGCTTGTTATTTGGGCTGTATTCACTCACTAATGAGTATTCCCATAGAATATAAAATAGAAACCTTAAGTGAACTAATTAAAAATCATATATCTGGAAACGTTAAAATTATTGTTGGTAATGGGTCCGTTCATCATTCTGTTCTAGTAGGTTTATAATATAATTGTATGAAATTAAAAAATTAAATTTTAAAAATTGTTTAGGAACATATTAATAAGCAATATTCTAAATATGGTGGTACTTATATTAATTACCTTGTTGTCGATTATGGAAATATATATGAATATTTAAAACGTGACGATTTTAAATATTCTATAATTCATGTGAAAGATGTACTTGTTTATCAAATATTAAAGCAAAGTATATCAAAGTATTACATATCAAATAATCTTGATGATATTCAAATAACCTCGTATCTTTATGGGATTGGGTTACCGAAAAAATCTAATTATTTGAGTAGTCTAAACAAAATGTAAATTTCTTTAAATATTTAATTTTATGCTTGATTAAATAAATTTATCTTATGAATAGTATATCCCATATTCGTGAGGCAAATCTGATGGATCATTGGACTAAAAATATTTTCATAAAAACTAATTTTGTAATATACCAACAATATAGTACTTCTAACAATAACATAGAGTTTTTTGATTTAACATGGACGAATTTAAAATTTGCTTTTTATATTTTGATAAATGGATCAATAATCATCCCTGTTGCGTATTTTATGGAAATATGTCATTATTTTTTTATAAATTATATTAATCGTAAAGCTTTTTAAAAACATTCAATTTGTATACAATTACTTTATTACTTAATTTTTATTTAAATTCAATATTTAAAAGATTTATGTTAAAAATAATTTACACACAAAAAACAATATCTATTTTATATATTAAATTTTTAAAAATATTTGTTTAATTAATAATTCATTAATATGTATAGTACTTATATCAATTAATCGTATATTTTTGTTATACAATACTAGTACCGTATATAACACTCATTCACGTCCCCATTGCCTATAACAACACATTTCAACAATTTATGGCAGCCTTTCGATACATACATTGGATATCCATTATATCATCAATTTTTTATTAATATTCATAAAATGTTTGTTTTAGTTAAGTTTAGGGAATTTCAAATATTTTATGAAAAGTTAATAGTATGTTTATTTTAATAACTATAATAATAGGTGTTCAGAGGCAAACAATAAATATTAGAAATACTTCACTTGAACCGTTTGATAGCAAAGGGAATGAAGTCTAAATGCAAATACAATGTATTGAACTTTATGTAATGGTTTAGCCAAATAAGCTTATATACCGGACACGAGTTTCAATATAGACTTGTTTCCCTTTGCTATCCAAGAATTCACTTATTTATAATAATAGAATTTATTTTTAAAATGATATACAAATGTACATTTTTAACATAATAAAATTGCTTATAAAAATTGAAAGTATTTGAATAATTTTCTTTCTTTTGTTAATCAAATATGTATTTCATAAAAATACTATTTATTAAAAATATGTGAATTTATATAATTCAGTTTATTGATAAATGACTTTCTAAAAAATACTGCTCGCACTTTGTATTAAAAAATGCATTCATTTAAAAACATATTTTCATTTATATGTACTGCATAAACGTTTAGGAAAAATGTATAATATTTATTAATATTAATATATTAATATAATTTAATTCTTATCATTTTTAATATGATATATTATTAATTTAAATTGTAAAATAATTTTTATTAAATGTTATATCTAATCATTTTATTAATAATTGGATACAATAAAACTACATTTAATTGTATTAATAGTTTTATTATACAGTGAATGAAATATTAAAAGATATATCACTTAACAATCTATATATTTCTTGACCATTTTATCAAAACGGATCATTTTAGTCAAGATTATCAAGTAGTAATAATTCTAATGAACACTGATAAATGTTATCCTGGTTGAACAAAATCATATTGGGTTCGGTAGGTACCGGTAGGCTCGTAACCGTTACGAAACAATCTTTGGGATGTTGGAAGGGGTGACAAATATCTTTGAATATATCGTTGCCAATTGTTGTCATATCCTTTGTATCTTTAGTGCCTTGAACCGAAAATGTGCAATCATAATAATCGCCAGTTTTATTTACCGTGTGCAGGGTGAGCGTATCGATAACCAATCGTTTGTCCTGCTCGGCCAACATGGTTTTTACCAGTTTTTCGATATCCCAGCGTAATTTGGCGTTAAGAGCATCCTCGTAGTACGTATTCTCTATGGCTGTGTTTAGCTCGTTTGAAGCATAAAAGTCCCGGAAATAGCCATCGTAATCCTGATATTCGTTGTCGTATTTGGCAAGGTCAATCTCACTTAGCAACTGCATTTGTTTAGGCACGAGGTAGATTGTGGTCCGTTTAGTAATATCGCCGGACGTGAACTTGTCCAGTACTTGCAAGTTAAATGTCCATGTCATTTTTGTAGCTACACATTGTTGTCTAGTCTTGTCCATCAAGAAACCAGGCTTACATATGCAATAATCGCTTAGTTTATCGGGTTTATTCGGACCCACGGCCGGGTTGCAAACGGCATTAATTTCTTGGCAATTTTCAGCGCGGTAGTTTTGCTGACAACCGGGAACACATTTCGTGGGAGTCGACGTGTCCGGGAATGTACCTGGTGGACATTTATTACAATTGTACCCGCCTCTTTCGAGCAAACAGTAGGCTTTCCGTTTGTCACACTCTTGACGCCCGGTGCCACCCTTTCCGCAAATAGCACCCAACTCGCACTGGTAGGTTATATTGTTGCGTACGTACGGCGGTTCGCACTTGCAAACCGGCTTTCCTTGGAAAACATCCAACTTGCCGCTTACGCATATAGTAGCGTCTACATTTTTAAACAATTTATAATTTATATAAAAACTTCAATTGAAATTTGTGCTTACCGATAACCTCGCAATTTTTTGTGGTAGTGTCGTAAGCAAATCCAGGCAAACATTTACATTGTGTGCCATCGCAATAGCCGTTTTTGCGATCGCACTTGCAATCCTTATCGGGCTTAATTGTACATTTATTATCTTGCTTGATATAATTATCGTTCATGCATATACAGTAATAACCAAGATCTTTTGTCGCATCAACTTCAACAACATGATCACAAGGGTGAAGTAAGGGTGATTTGTGTAACACTGGCTCACATGTTGTTTCTTGTGGATTTAATGCTAAAGTGAACAATTTCAGATATAAATTAATATTTATAAATCGATATGTTAATAAATTATCAATATAGAAATTAAAATAGAATTAACTGGACACTAATACTATGCATATTTTACAGATATAATTTTAAGTATAAAAATGAAATAAAATATAAATAATCAATGCAAAATTTGTACATACTTTTATTAAGTTTGCGAGTATAACCCACTGGGCACGTACACTGATATTTAGTGCCATCGTTATCGTCAATTAAACGGCACGTCTGTTTTGGACCTTTAGGATTACATGGCGATGCCGTTAGACCCATTGCCATTCGGTACTCATCATCGCAAAGATTTATCTTGATATTTTTATCTTTGTAAAATATGTAGGTATCTAAAGCTTTACATTTGGGACCATCTTTTAGATTTTCAACGCACTCTACCCCATCGCCATCACACTTCATTGTCAAACATTTTGGCAATTGTAAACAGCTAGTTAATTAAATATTAATGTTTTTAATTAGTATATAATAAAATATATTTCAAATCATATTAATGTATTATTTGAGTTTCTTACTAATGATAATTTCCTATTTTTATATAACATTATAATTTAGAAAATAATCACAATTTCATAAATAAATTTGAAAAATATTTTCATAGATTTATGTAAATTACTTATTTATATATAAAATCTATTTGATGCCTAAATTTGTAATTCAAACTAATATTTTGTAAATTGGTTTATAATGTATACAAACTAACTTTAGATTAGCATGATCCCAATATAAATCTGGTGCACACTCGCATTTGAAATCTGTTTTATGCTGTATATCAAGTTTGCATTTAGCGCCTCCTCCTTGCGTTTTGCAGTACTCTTCACCAGTCATACCCTGGGCAAAAACATACAATAAATTAACATGTTTAAACAAATTAAGAATTCATGATTACTCACCTTTTGCTCATATTTCTGAACACAAAAGTTATTATTTTCACATTCCTTGCCCCACCATTTTTGATCATCTTGATCGCATTTACCGCATTTGAAATCAAACTTTTTAGTCCTACCATCAAATACCCTTTCACATTTAATGTCATCGCTCCGTTTACTACAGTCAATATATTTCCGATTATCTTTGTCAATTTCCTTAAAGCACACGTCGTTTAAATCAAGATTGTCAATAGTGAATAATGGTTTGTCTTTTGTTGTAGCTTTAATATACGTGACGTATAGTCCGAATTTGTAGAATTTAACATTTGGTACTTTAATTGTTACGTGATTGTAGTCTGTTGGCAGTGGTTGTTTTGCCTAGTTAATTTTAAATAAATTTGATTAATAACGTTTTAGTCTGTTAAATTAAATTATTTTTACAGTTCTCTCAATCGTATTATCTCCAAAAATGTCATCGGCATACGTCGGGTTTAGTTTTTCATCATAAATTACAAACTTGATTGCAAACCCTTTATAATCGCTATTAATGTTTAATCGAAGTGTAACAGTATCGGTTGTCTTTTTGAGCCATCTACTTATAATTTGCGAAATTAGCGGTCGTTTTTCAATAATTGAAGCTATTATAAAAAATAAGACATTTAAGAAAATTATATTAATTTATAAAAATAAAAATATATTTACGAGCAAACGCGATTATAGTTTTAGCTGGATCGTTTATCCAGATTGGATTTTGTTTAGGCTCAAATCGTGTTGGAAATAACGACTCAAATGTGGGTTTAATTTTTGATACAGTATCATCTAGTCGTGGTATGTACTCAACATAATCGATAACATTATCGGTAAGTTGTGCAACATTATTTGGTATATTAACCCCAATCCTTTGATCTTTATCCGCAAACTTTGACCTGAAATTTATTGTAAAACTCGTTTCCAACCTTGGTGTTAAATCGGACACACAAATACGTTGCTGGCTCAATTCTTGATCAGAGTATTGTTTCGTTAGTATCAGCCCACTCTCATTATCGCCATACGATACAATTAACTGTGAATTGTCGTTGGCGTAATATTTTAATGTATAACACAAATCATGATCTGTATTAAAGTTTAAAAATGTTTGTGATAATTTATCGCCTTCCTTGTCCGAAATGTACAAGGGGAAAACTTCCAAATTCTTTCCAGTATTGTCTCGGTGGGTAATTTGTGGCATATTTCCATTCGAGTAATTAATAGTAGCCGGGTCCAATATAAATAATTCACAATCGCTAACGTTATTACAGGTTATTGTTATAGTCTCGTAGTTATGTTTTTGAACGCAACTGTAAATAATAATTTAAAGTTTTCTAAATCTTAATATACGTTAAATATTATTAATTTATTAATTTTAAAATATTATTATTAATTTATAAATTTGAGTATACTAAAAATTATAAACAAAATTATAGTTACGTGTTGCCATCAAAAGTATATTTATTTTCAGGACATTTGCATATAATACCCGGGGTAGAATTAGATTTATGGCTTAGACCGCAAAACGATGCAAATAATGGCTCTTTGGGTAAATGATCGCAATGATCTTTATCCTGGTAATAATTAAATTGAAAATTAAATATATATATTATAGATAATGCTAAGACAATAATATATTTACCGACGATTCTATACATGCATCTATCTCACAATTATTACCAATATAATTTGTATAACATTTGCATACATAATTATCAGGTCCAATATTACTTGCACACGTACCATGGAGACTACAAGGTTTTTTGTCAAATGCTGTATCACATGGATCACCAATTGATATATCAGATATTTTAATATTAATATCTTTTGTAGTAACATCATCGTTATTTAGTGTAAAAATGACAATCAATTTGAAATGTGTACTGTCTTTTCGATTTGCGAAATCTAATTGTCTATCAATTATTTTGTCTTTTTCTCCCACAATTTGTGAAGGTTGTTCAGGTTTGTCGCTGTCTTTCCATAAAATAGCTGTCTCAATTTTGATATTTTTATTTGCCGGATCATAATCGGGAATATCGATTTTGATGCGTTTGTTTAAATTAAAAATTTTATCATCATTTTTAATCCAATTACTAATGAATTTGGTTTCAAATGATGTTCTCGGAGCTACCGATTCTGTAATTTAAAATAAAGACATATTTTAAATAATTGTTTGCAAATATAATCTAGTAATAATTTTTACATTATAAAATAAATTTTGTAATATGATATTTATATACAAAAGCTTATTTAAGTTTTGATAAAATATTTTTGCAAATGTTTTTAAAATCAAAACTGAAAATTAATTATTTATAATTGAATTTATGTAGATGATTAATTTCATTTACCTGTTTTAGTGTAAACATGTAAATCATATATCCATTCCTTGTCGCTGTACGGGAATGTATGCCATTTCTGTTGATTAGGTGGTAATATACCTGGTATCAATTTTACACTCTGTGTCAATGTATCAGTAAATTCTTCAGTGTATGACATTAACTTGACTTTCGATATGGTACTATCTGTCCATGGCACACTATTTTTGGCTTTGATTGTAAGTGTAAAAGTTTTAATATCGGGCTCATACATGAAATCTCTAAGGCAAAACTTTAATGGACTTCTGTTAACTAGCAATTTGTTTATAGTAAATAAATCTTTGGCCTTTTTGTTACTATCAGTATACACAACCGTTAAATCGATAGTCGGCATTGTCAGTACATAATCAAGTTTTAGACATAAATCCAGTTTATCAGTGCTAATTTCTTGAAATGTATAAATTAATTGATTATAGTCTTTGTTTGCTGTAAACAATGTCGGATCAGCTGAATCGGGTATCCAACCATATGCGTCGCCACCATCAGGGACTTTTATCTGTTTACATGTTGTGCTAAATAAAAAATATTGTTAATAAAAAATATTTTCATAATTTTTAATTAATCGTACCCATCCCAATTGACATAATCTTCATGATTGCATACACAACGGTAATATACGGGAGTTGGCGGTGTTTTTGAATACAAAATGGTCGATCGTGAATGATCGCACTGAATCTTTGTTCCCGGATTAGCAGGTGTAACCAAAGCACATTTACTCTTACCAGTTGCCTAATGAATAGTATTAAATTTTCATAAATTTACAGTATAAATAAAAAATGTAATTCACCCTTTTAGGTAAATGTTCAACAAGATTATCGCAATAATCAACATTTTCACATTGGTGTCCAGTGAACCCTTGTGCGCAAACACTACCGCAAACATTAGCTTCATCATTTTTATTTGCTTCACAACCTGGTTGCAAATTTTCCCTGACACAATTTTTGTTATCAACCATGCACGGATCACCAAAATTGATAAGATTTAAATCGAACTCGATTTCGTAATTTGTGTAAAGGTTTTCTGGTTTAAAATATTCGACCTCGAACATAAATCTGATATATGTGGTGTCGAGAATAGGGTCAAAATTAAATGTGTACGTCCAGGTATTTGGACGTTTGATATCGTCTTTCACAATATTTACGTATTTAACGTCTGCACAGTGTGCTAGGTCATTACATATTTTGGGTCTAACAGTCAGCGCGTTAAATAGTCTTTCATCCCTAACCACAATACTAAATTGTCCATCAACCAAATGTAGATTTAGTGTATATTTAATCCAGTCACTTATTAGTATAGCTGTGGCATGTAGTTCATTTTGAGGTGTAACTAAATTTTTAAAATATTCACTTGTTTAATTATTTTTTAAAACTACATAATAGTAATAATATTTTCAATTACATTACCTATTACATGAAATGTATTTGTATTAGGAACTTGCTCAAATACACTACCCGGTATTTGTACTGGCCACATAGTTAATGTAGGGTGTATAAATTTTGGTACGCTGACCCAATAACTAGGATCCCACTTACGACCTTGTTGATCCATTTTAATAATTTGTATTGAAAAATCTTTTTCAATTTTAGGATCAAATTGTACAACATCTATAAAGATATACATTCTAACGCTAATTGCAATTAAATCTTTCAAGCAAAATTTTGTAGTCTCCACTACTTTGCCAACTTTAGGTCGAATAGATAGGATCTTGTACATTTTTCTGTTAAACTTATCATGTTCAAATCCATAATGAACATTAATGCCAATAGGAGTTTTTGCGTTGTAATTTAATGTGAAACATGTATCTGCTGTATTTAAATCCTTGATCATATCTGCGGTGACAAAGGTACTTTCGTAACCAAGTTTGTCAAATTCTGGATCATAACATTGCTGGCTCATTCTATGTATTTGACAATCTTTAATAACATCTAGATCATTTCGTTGTTTATATAATTTTTGAGTGATATTGTTATGTGACTTATTTGTATTATAAACTAGGTAATCTTGGGCGAAATATACGTTTAATCCAGATTTCAATGGTTGTTCATATTCAACTATAATAAATAAAAATTTTAATTAATTATAGTTTAAACTATACAGTAATAATATATAATTTTATAAATATTAATTTAATGGTTTTAAAAAAATTTAAGTTTGTTAATTATTAAGTAACAAGTACCTTTGATATCTTTCAATGCAATCATAGTGTCGGTACCAAAAGCGATGTCTATTTGAAAGTCATGTAATTGTTGTAGAGTTAAGACATATCGTCGACTAATCCAGTAGTTATGGAAATAGGATTTATAATCTGGTGTCAAATCATCAATGAACTTTTGGTGCTTGTTAAATATAAATAGCATTTCTGGTGTCAATTGAAATTCATTATACGCCCACAACTGTATAATTAAAACAAATATATAAATGAGTAACATAAAATAGATTGTAAATATTAGTTAAATTTAATTTATATATTTTTAAAATGTTTAATTTGCCCCCATGTTTATTTACTAGAAAATTTATAATTGAATTATAACAATATTAGACCCACCTTGAAACTGAATACAAAATGATCTATACTTGAATCCAAACTTTTATAAAAATTATCTTGAAACTTAATGAAATTTGATTTGCCTGCACTTTGTATATAAAAGAATTGTGTTTTGTCCCCGCGCAATTTGTCCTCGTTGTCTATGAATGGCCAATTTATGTCACGTCCGTCATAGTTTACAGTACGCCAATTTTCACCTGATACTTCATAATCAGCTGTTTATATATAAAATAAAAATTACTAAAATTTTGAAATTAATTAACTAAAATATTTTATTTGCTTTTAAAATACTACATGTTACTTATAAAATTTAATAGGTTCATATTAAACATAAATAAAATAATTATACATTACCCAAGCAAATTGAATGATATAGTAATATTGGAACTAGCAATAGTAAATTCAATAAATACATTTTAGTTATTTAAAATTTGAATCATACATTCGTATTTTAAAAATAAATATCAATAGATATCAATAAAATATATAAATTATTTGTTGCTTATATTGAGACTTAATATTTCTATTTAAGTAATATATTTGTTAATTATCTTTCAAGTAGTGCGACTAAAATTTGTGATAATTGTCTTGACACTTGTATTTTTTGTCTTAAAAACATTTAAATTTTTGTAAAATACTCGTAGATAATTTGACAGTCTAATTGAAATACTAATTTTAAATATCTATATAAAAAACTAATATTTTTAAATAATAATACATATAACAATTTTATGTAGTATTTATTGTTTATTGTTTAATATTTTATTTTATTCTGTATTAGAAATTATTTTATTATAAATGTTTTACCATACTAATCTATAAGCATTTCACTATTTTATAGTGATAATTAATGAGATAATACTCAATTTTAGTAATCTTAGAAATAGCACTTATATAGTAAATATATATATTTAATACATATTTCACATTAAAATAGTTTTATGAAATAATGTAAAAATATTAATAAATGAATAAAAAATATTCATTAAAATAGGTTATTATACACAGGTAGTTTATTTATCAATTATGAATATGTTTACTAAATAATACGCTAGTAAATTAAGCAAAATATTAAATTAAAAGTTGTAAATATATTTTAACAACATTAACTCAAACTGCATTAATCT